TTGATTGATTGATTGATTGATTGATTGATTGATTGATTGACTCAGTTTGCAGACCCGCCCATCTCAAGCCAGTGAGTCTGGGTGGCAAACGATCATAAAAAGAATTAAACAGTTAAGATATAATACAGAAAAAATAAATAAATAAATACAGTTAGCAGCCAAGAGATATTACAATTCATTGGTGTCAACATAACCAGGAAACAGGGCCCTTCACGCACTCAGGACCTCAGGCCCAGGCACACAATCAGGTCTTCAAGGCCTTCCAAAAGGCGAACACAGTCAGGGCCATCCTAATCTCAGGAGGGAGGCTGTTCCAGAGGGCAGGTGCTATGGCAGAGAAGGCACATCTCCTGGTCCCCGCCAGGTGACATTCCTTGGCTCATGGAACCCGGAGGATGCCCATCCTGCCAGACCAGATTCGATGGCTAGAAACACCTGGGAGAAGACAGTTCCTCAGGTAACCTGGTCCCAAGCCATGAAAGGCCTTAATGTGACAACCAGCACCTTGACTGCACACAGAAACATACCGGCAACCAATGCAGCCCCTGAAGCAAGTAGTGTTACATGTGCCAAATAACCGACACCATTTATAACCCATGCAGCTACATTCTGCACCAGCTGAAGCTTCCGAGTGCTTTTCAAGGGCAGACCCATGTAGGGCGTGTTGCAGTAGCCCAAATGCGAGGTCACGAGGCCATGAGTGACAGTGAGCAGAGCCTCCTGGTCCAGGAACGGGTGCAACTGGCGTACAACCCAAAGGTGTGCAAAGGCCCTCTTAGCCATCTACCACCTGTTCTTCCAGCAGGAGCCGTGAGTCCAAGAGGAACCCCAAATTGTACACTGGATCCATCTGAGGCAGTGACACCCCATCCAGGAGCAGAGATGGAAAACCCTTGACATAGGGAAACTCAAGCACTCAAAGCCACTCAGTCTCCTTGGGTTGAGCCAAAGCCCATTGTGCCCCATCCAGGCCCCTACAGCCTCCAGGCACTGAGGCAGGACATCCACGGCATCACTCAGGCAGCCCAGGGTGGAGGTATAAAGCTGGGTATCATTGGCATACTGATGTTACCTCACCCCAAGTGGTTGGATCTTGTACGATCCTACAACGAAGGGTGGCTTAAAGATGTCTCACTTGTTGGCAATGAGATGAAGATAGTGTCATGGGAACTAGCATAAAAATTATGTTTCCTAGGGGGCAAGGAATATTTTTTAAGATATAGGGATAAACAGAGCAGTCTGAATGCTTCTGATTGACTCACAGCCTAGAAGAAACCAGAGAAGGGGATGGCATGCCTGCCATAGAGTCCACCTTGATGTTGCTGCTGAAGGTTCCAAGTTCCTGACTGGAACCTGTCCCTCTTCTTCTCTCTCATATTTTTGATTGCTGAATTACATGCCATCACATCAGTGTCAACTATTACCAATCCCTAGGTAGAATTCTCCAGGGTAATCAGTCCCCAACATGGTCAGTTCTTCTAACACTCTCCCCACTGCCCTTGTCATGGAATATATCCACTTTGCTGCTGGCTATCCATGTTAACTTTTCTTCCACCTTTCCCAGAATCATAGACTTCTCAAGAGAGCTAGGTCTTTGAACCATGTGTCCAAAGGATGATAAATTCAGCCTACTCATTTGTATCTTGAGTGAGAACTCTGAATTGATTTGTTCTAGGATCCATCTGTTTGTTTTCTTGGCTATCCATTGGATTCTCAAGAGTCTTCTGCTACATCAAATTTCAAAAGCATCAATACTAGCTGCATCATGGTATCTGAATACCTTCTCCAAGGTTTGTATTGCTACCCTACCAGGGGCTAATCTGCAGTGTACGTGGTTCAATATTCATGAGTCTCATGATCAAATCCCAAGCTACACGCCAAAATGGCCCAAAGATTTCTTACAGCCCACACTCCTCGAAATAAGACATATTTTCTCTATGTTGCTCCAAGAACATTCCAGGAACTGTAATGGGAAGAAATAATAACTTTCCAGCAAAGCCCAGGTGGGATAATATTCTAGTAAATTTTCATCCCACATATTGATGGCTGCTAACATATGAGCCCTGGGGATATTTTAGGAAGTCCAATAAACTGAAGCTCCCACACTTCAAATGGTAGTTCAATTTAGCTAATGACAACCCTGGTGGATTAGTATCCCAAATACATTTTCCTGAATGACTTATGAGTCTGAAGAAAAGATTGATTTGGTATTAGCACTGAGATGCTTTTAAGGACATAAATTAAATGAGGGACAATGTTCATTTTGATAACATTAATTTTGTCTCACAGACCTAATGGGATTTTAATCCATCTATTTAAATCCAATTCCATCTTTTCTAAAAGTTTCAACATATTTATTTCCATGTATTTAGAAATCCTTCTGGGGATATAGAGTCCCACATAATTGATGTACTCAGTAGAAATGGCAAAACCCAACCATCAAACTGTGCTGATATATCAGGGCCTAAAGAAAGCAAACAAGACTGATTCCAGTTGAT